ACCTATGCATACATAAATAATATACATAATATTGCCAAACCCTATAGAAATAATAATCTAGACAAGCTATAATACAACATGTCTCCCTTCTCTTATAATCATAAACACATTAACATATAATGTCAAACACTCTTTACCAGGCACACACAGAGATTCAAAGTTAAGCTGTAGATTTTGCACTAACATCAGTAGCGTCTGGCGCACGAAAGCAACCCTGTGATCCGCCATTGTTGTTGCTGTTAGCGAAACACATCAGCAATGACGCGGGGTGAGCAGCAGAGGTGGGGAGAGGGGGGGCTATGGCGTCATCGTTATCAGGAAATGATCGTATAGGACGTACACACGGAGCCGTTTGCCCCCCCCAGAGCGCTTCGTCCGCAGATCTACCCACCTTGGGACCCGTTATCGTTTGAGGGCTCCGTTTCCGCGGTTCCATTACGGCCTCGTGTGGACGAATTGTCCATGTCTCCGTGTAAACGTGGCCTTAGTTGGAGGGAGTTTGTGTATGTGGTGTTTGTGTTTGTGGTGTTTTTGTATGTGGTGTATGTGTGACTTTTGAAGGACAATTTTGAGGAACTTGTATTAAACCTGAGTATTATATTTGTATACTACTTTGTACTTCTTCGACTACACTACAATTCAGAGGTTAACTGTGCACTTTTACTGTACTACATTTATTTTGTTTAGATTTACTTTACAGATTAGGATTAATGATATGAAATATAATCAACCCTTACAAAAAACTTTAGTTACACCTGGAGTAAATTCACAATAACCTGCAGTATACAAAGTCATTCAAACTAGCTGCACCTTTACCAGATTTGATAATACTTTAATGCATCAATAATTAAAATCAAACATATAACATATATTATTCTGAAATTATTTTGATGCCAATACTTTTCTACTTTTACTTGAGTAACCTTTTGAATGCAGGACTTTTACTTGTAACAGAGTATTCCTACACTCTGTTACTTCTACTTTTACTCAAGTATAAGATCTGAGTACTTCTTCCACTTCTGGCAATATGCAGCAGAATTATATAATGTGCAGCATCCACAGCAGCCAGCAGGGGTCAGGAGCAGCTTTAAGTGTGTTGTATGCAGCCGAGGAGAAGCTGATGGAGTCCTGCATGTCCTCCCCTGAAACAATATATAGTTAATAACATGAAACTTGAAATCTTGTTAGGTGTTTTTATACAATGAAGATGTCGTCAATAAAAACAATAATACACCGATTAATTCTGTAACCCAAAGAAATTAAATAAGAAAATTAAATTAGACTTTTCATGGATGTACATATTTATTTTTTATTCTATAGAAACTGCAGCATTAGACAAGTGCTGAAGCTGTAAACCATATTGCTCACACACACACACACACACACACACACACACACACACACACACACACACACACACACACACACACACACACACACACACACACACACACACACACACACACACACCACACACACACACACACACACACACACACACACACAATCAATGCTGAACACTGGTGCAGGGAGATGAGGCAGTAAAACACTGAGGCAGGAGTCACGCAGTCAATCAAAAAAAGAAGGGAGGGGGGGCTAATTTACCAAAAGTGCACCATCACACTTTACAGCATGCAGAAAACTCATTGGTTGGGGTTTTTATTCAGACAGAACTCCTAAAAAGAAAATATAAATAATTCCAACATTAAGTACATTTTCTAGATTAAGACCCATAAATATGCGCTTGAGAGTTCAAACTGCAGTATGTACAGAGGTCCATGCGTCCACAATATACACACATGACAATACATATTGGACACACAGTACAGTATCAATGTGGATATTTGTTTTTCTTTGAACATTTTCAGGGGTACAGCAAGACACGGAGCATTCATAAAGCAGCTGAGGAAAGGCCTTCACACCCTGTACCTGTCTTGTTATCGGTTTATATTAACGGATCACCTTGGTTACTCCTTTTCTGGCTGCTAAAGCGAAGACTCAATGTTTTTTAGGGGAATGTGTGAAGAAGCACCGGTGAGCTTGTCCTCCAGGCTTCAACCTGACTCACAGGAGAAAGAAAGAGTGAGAAAGAAAGGGGAAAATACGAAGAGAAAACTGATGTAGAAAGGTAGAACAGAGGAGATCAAAAACCATTACCTTTCTCAACACTAATTGTTAACCTTTGACCAGAGTGCAGAGAAATAGGGAGATAGAGGAAGAATGTGTGAAAAAGAGGGGTGTAGAAATGGAGGAGTGAGGGTACTGTGTTACTGTGTAAGTGAAAAGAAAAACCTAGACAGGACCTAGTTTTGGCAACGTTGCTTCCTGTTGCTAAGTAACGGTCTCCAAGGGCAGAGGAAGCGCCTCTTTGAGGTTGTTCGGCTCCAAAATGAACAATTTTTAGCCCATCCCACCACTCCTCTAACACCCCCCCCCTCCCCCCTCAGTGAAGGAAAGCCTTTCCTGAACAGTTTGGGATTGCTGGCAAAGTGACAAGCAATTCATATTCACCACTGACAAGGTAGTCCAATGCAAAGTGGCAACTGGGGGCTTCTCCTGTGTTCGTTTTCTGCAATGTGTTTTTCTGAAGCCGGTTTATCCTTAATAGGCCACGAGCAGCAAGCTAAATAAAAGAAAAGTCCATTGCACTATATGGGAAACATGAGCTTCACTGTCCACAGTTCTCTTCTGCACTATAGCCATAATATCACCACACTAACAATTTGAGTGATGGGGCAGCATAGGATAACTTAAGAGTAGGCCTACATCAAATCATCAGTGGTTCAACATTTAGAAGAAAACAGAAGTGATAATTAACGTTTGTTTTAAATGTTTTAAAAATCCCCACACTGTTGTGAGGATCTGCAGTACTTCCTCCTTCTTTTCCCCCTTTCTGTGTTTGTTTTGTCTGTTTGTCTATGTGTCTGTCTCCCTGGCTGGGCGTGGCTACCTACATTCCGATTCCCGCCAACTCACCTCCTCAGCTGCTGCTCATCTCACTGATTGCCACTACTCACCTGCACCTGCTTAAAACCCTGGTTCCCATCTTCAGACTTCGCCAGTTCTTTGTTTATTCTTCAGTGGTAAACTATCGTCCAGGCCTACTAGTGGTTTTTCCTAGTGACTTTTTGACATTTACCACAGTCCATGTGTCTGCTGAGCAGCGTAATTGCATCTCCATGGAGAAGGAGGAGCTGTATGGACATGGATAAACCTCCAGCCAACACAAAGTGAAAGAATATCCATGTTTTAGACCCTTGAAAAAACTAAGCTAATGTTATGAGTCCCTGTTGAGCATTTCACCCCCGGAGCGGCTACATATAGTTCATTTAATCTTAGCATGGGATCCAAGCTGAGTTAAACAAACTGTCTATTGTGAGATAATCCTTAGCAGATGCCAAAACCTGTGTCTGGGTAATGAAACACTGGTCGCCACAGGCCTAAATTATATAACGTACAAGGAGAGATATGAGCAAATGAAATATATGAGATATTTAATGTAATAAAAGCTGAATTCAGAGTCCTTAAAATGTCTACAGCTTAGTAAGCAAAAACAGCTTTAACACTGGAAAACAATTTCTGAGCATCAAACACACTTCTCTGCATTAACCCTGCACAATTTGACAAAACATTTCTCTCTAAAATGATAGCAGAATTAAGTATTCTGAACAGTGACTTGTGTCATGGCTATTTTTCTATTTAGTTTTCAAAGACAAGACCAAGTTAACATTTTATTTTACAAGTCCTATTATTTCCAACAGTTTACAAAAAGAGCAGAGTTGTTGTTCTATATGGGCTCCCATAATAGGGGCTCAGAACAGTCTCATAATACACACATTCACACTTGTATTTCATGATCCGCAAAAGGATTCACACTTGTATTTCCGGATCCACACTTGTGTTTTTCAATGCACACACAAATGTGTTCCGTTTAACAAATATGTGAGGATCAAAAATACATATGTAAAACTTTTTTCTATATTTGGATTTTATTTACATATATATGAAACGGAACACATTTGTGTGTGAATCCTTTTGCGGATCATGAAATACAAGTGTGAATCCTTCTGTGTGCATTATGAGACTGTTCTGAGCCCATAGTTCTACTGTTATGCACTGGAAAAATAAGGTAACTAATTATAAAAAGCATGGTAGTGGTGAAGCTGCCAGACACCAACAATGAACCTTCTGTTGTTTTGTGTAACCCTGAAAATGGTATGATCCACACTGGACTAAACCAAACATAGGGGTAAAGGGGGATTCAGGGAACAGACTTGTCTTTTTGTGAAATTGGGCCCCTCACCTGAGATTCCCTATACATATATCAGTTCAACAGTGAAAATAATTTAAATTCAAATTATATTCAGACATAAGAGGCTATTACATCAAATCATACAGAAACAAAGTATGTTTACAGGCCTGAAGAGGGAAAGAAAACAACCTTGTTTTGAATAAATGTAAAAAGACTGGACGCTGGACCAATTATTATTCATTTTTTTCCTATACAGTGTGTGCATAGTGTCTGAACAGTGGACAAAAAGTATTGATTAAATAAAAAGAGGGAATTCCAGTGTGTAGGTTCAAATCATTAATATTATGAAAACTGTAATCAGGCAAAGGGGGAAAGTCTATATGCAGATTTGATAAAATGCTTACTACGCAATAATCTAACTCGAGTTATCTTACAGAGTGATAGCTTATCAGTGTTGGACCTTAAGTGTGTAACTTTAGTGAGTGTTAACACACGCTAAACAAAAACAGGGGTCAAACATTACTGTTAGAGACTATATTACTGTGACAGTGTATGATTTATGACACAGCTAAAAAGCAAACTAACTTTTTACAACAAAGTTAAAAGAAAATAATTTTGGTCAATAATTAATAAGAAGCTAAATGATATAAGGCCTCGTTCTGCTGTTAATCTCCCATACACAAGCAAATAATAAATAGCTTAACACTCATCGAAACATGTTCCATTTCCTTGGTTTTCACAAATAAAATACATACAGTACTTGTTTATTTCTTTAGACAAACACATATTGTTGCATATGTACATTTTCAGTAGTCGTTACATAGGTAGTATTTCAGCAGAGTTTGGAAAACCACACAGGAACAGAGAGTGCATAAAAAAAAATCAATCTTTTGGCTTGTTGGTCTGTGCTGTTCTCTCACCTGTATTGAGTGATACCAAACCTTAAGTCAAGCTGGATTTGCAAATACTTTCCGATGGTGGGTTTTAGAATCCCTATATATTGAATGACTGTTGATAATTGTTCTCACTCTTGCTCTTTTCCTTCTTCTTTGGCTCTTTGCTAAAATAGTCCACTAATTGAATCCACCAAAGTTGTGAAGACTGGCTGCAATCATGTATTGGTTTCTTACTACATCACCACATTTTCTTTGTTCAAAAGCTAAAACTAGTCCCAAACAAATGCTCTATTCCCTCATGTTTGGCTAACTTGAGCAAAAAAGGCTGAGCTATTATTTAATTTTTAAGAAAGTCCAAAATCATTCTCATTTAGCTGAGTTTTTCCTGATTATGGCTAATTGTGGGTGTCAATTTCTTAAAGGAGAGTACCATGGGTGTATCGTGCCTATTGGTGATGAAAACAGCCGTCGGCCATGGCTGAAAACACGTTTTACGAGAGCATTGAGAGTGAACCAGAACAGCATTTGTGGGCCAAAAAAACAAAATAATGAAAATAATGATGTGCTATGTGGAATTGATGGGATCTGAAGAGTAAGGAAATAATAATCTGTGGATCATTACTATGAGTGACACCTTTCACAAGGAACATAGTCATCTGTTTACATCAATCAGTGCTACAGACATGGGAACAGAGAATAACACCAGCCTTTGCGCTCAACACTACTGCTTAAAGAAATGCTGTTTCGGTCCAAACTGAACTTGCATACTGATGCATGATGCAAACTGACAAACCTGCATCTCACTGTGCGTGTCAGAGAAGCTTTATGAGGCGTGGTAGCTTAATGCAAGTGTGAGCCTTTGCATTACAACATTGGGATAAACCACCCATATTGCTCAGCATTTACTCGCAACCTAGTGCAAGATTGATTTTTATTAAGGCTCGGTAGACATATGCACACACAACACAAGCTCAGTGTATTTCCTGGCCATGCTTAATTACGACAGAAATTGCATTAAATAAATAAGAAAATAAGAACTGCACTGGCCACTCATACAAGACTTGTATGCACAGGCTACTATAACTGCATAAAGGCCAACCATTAACCCTTTGCTCCAGGTGGAAGTTTAAGTATTTCTACCACAGACTACAGCCTGGAAAAATTGCATACATTAACCAGAAGGTAGACCCCTTCGAAAAACCCAGCAGCAAAACTATTGATTTATTTTCTCTCTTGTTCCACACGCAAAGAGGAAGCATACAGAGCAGTCCGAAGCTATCAAGCACACTGATTATTTTTTAAAACATTCACTTGGTAAAACAACCAAGTACTAGAGACTACAGCGACAATACAGCAGCACAGTTTTAAGCTAAGGGACTATCATTCTTCCTTGGCTGTCCATATTTTGGACCCACAGTGTAAGGTGTTGTCTTCCAGACCCAGTCATAAAGAAGAGAAGCAGGGAAGAAAGGAGCAATACCCTTATGGTCAAGCAGGATACAGTAGCATTAGTTTCACTGCCTGCTCTGCCTCCAAAGTATATCTTATTGTTGTATGAATCAGTTTGATTTACGAGTGTATCTCCCATTAATGACTCAAGACTTCTGTCAAAAGGAAAACAGGAAAGGCTTCCTTATAAATAAAAGTTTAATTATTGATCACATTGCTTTTCTTCTACTGCTGAGGCAGGGTTTCAGGAAACCATAGCTCTCTGTATCATACCTCTCTGTTTGTAACAGTAGCAATACACATTGGACGGTTTTAAAAAGAGAGTGATGATTTTAATAACTGTACCCAGAAGATTAATAAATAAAGTTCCAAAACAACACTAAGCCTTTGAGCTGCCACCTCCAGTTAAGGTAAACACAGGCCATTGTCAGCCAGATGCTAACAGTAGAGGGACATCCTACTCCGACGCATGGCCTCGCTGATCAGATAGGCCGGGCTGATTTCTGGCTCCTCCTTCATCACCACAATGTTCTGCCACTCTCCACTCTGGTTGGATTTCTTGATGGTATCAACCACGCAAAGAGCATAAAGACAATCCTCAAATGTAGCAGCCATTGTCAGAGGCCTCCCGTCCCACGTCCGCCTGTCGTCCTGGTCCTGAAAGGCCTCCCGCACGGCCTGGATCATGCGGATTGTTCCAATGAGATACGGGGACGGAATGTCAATGAAGGCCTTCTCCGGTAAGGAAGAATTCTCAACAGGTGTATTGTCTTTGAGCAGGAGTTCAGGACCCCCACCGTTTCCTCCGCTGCTGTTCTTCTGTCCGTACAGGTCTGTCCCGGTGACCGTAAGCCTTCCCACCGTACCTACGACGATAACCTCCTGCCGGAATTCTCCGGGAACGTTGAAGTTCAGCGTGACGGTGCAGCAGGCGCCGCCCTCCAGCGCCATCTGGAACGTGCAGAAGTCGTCGCTGGTAATCTGACGGATGCCCCGGATGTGGTCCGTCTGTTTGACGAAGGTCTTGAGGAAGCCGTGGACTTTTTCTGCGCGCTGACCGGTCAGAAACCCTAGCAAGTCAATGATGTAACTACCCACGGAATGCAGACCTCCGCCTCCCATCAGGTCATCGCAGCTCCAGTTGTATTTCTTTCCTAGGAGACTGCCACTGTGGACCTGTAGGGCAAGAGGAACAATTGTGAAGATTTTATACCATATTAGGTATTTCTTTCGTGAACGTAGTCAGGATAACAAATAAATAAAACAAAGGAAACCGTTGGGAAGAGACCAACTAACCCTAACCCTAACCAACACTCCTTAAGACACACATTACCTGCCAATTCTGTGGGCACAACTCAAACTATACATAAACAATAGTAACATATTGTAGTCATTATAATAAAAGGCAAAGAAACATTTATAGATGTTGTCGTACCTGGGCTTCACAGACCAGAAGCTCTCCGATGTACCCCTCTTCTAACAGCTCCTTCATTCGAACGAAAGCGGGCAGAAAACGTAACACATTTCCCATAATGCTCAGCAACTTAGGGTAGTACTGGGCCGCTGACATCATTCGGAAGGCATCCAGAGGCGTTGCTGTCCGGTCGCAGATGACGTTCTTTCCAATACCTTATAAAAGAGAGGAGAGACAGGAATGAGCTTTTCGGTTTTGCTGTGGAATGCCATTGTTTTGACAGGACTGTTTTCAACTATAGAGGTATGGAACAAAAAAACAAAAGAGATTGAAGTTATGTGGTCAATCTTTGCTACACCACTAGCAGACATAATATCCTCTTGGGCATGAAAACATCCCCTGAAGAAACAATGCAGAGCTGCAAAAAGTGGAAACTCCCAGAACAGCTGACTCAAGAATTCCTAAACTTTCTGGGATTTCTCATCTGAGTCATGGCAAAGGAGGGTTCAAATACAATGTGTACTGCATATAGTATTATAAAACCTGTTCAGATTAAGTGTAATTGTACTGCTACCATGCTAAAATGAGCAGATGTATAACCTATATTCACAATCAAATTTAGAACCATAACAGAATTTGTAATATCGCCTAGACAACATTTGGGGCTTTCATTTTGGAAGACATCCAAGATATTGCAGTCACAACTGCGGTGTATGGTGCAACTGCATAGCTCATAGAGCTTCAGACGGGCTTTGCTGGTACTGCCAGAAGGGATAAAAGCTTGATATAAAAAGACGAGCCCAGAAGCAAAGAAGCGACGTAGAAGGAAGGAGATAAAGAGCCTGTAGAAACAGAATGAAACCTAATTAAAATCACTTCAGGCACATTAAACGGTCCATTGGTGCCAGCAACACCCAAACAAAACAGCGTTAAGAGGTGCAGGGAAAAGAGACAGACAGAAACAGATTGTCTTTTATTACTTTTTACTGGACAGTCGACTGGAAGGAGACAGACGGGAGCCAGCGGACTACAGAATACATCATTAACTGGTTTTGAACCTGATCCTCCAATGTCACAGGAAGATAATCTGTTTCTTAGGATAAGGTCTGCAACTAGGAATCCTTTTCATTACTGATAAATCTGATGATTATTATTTCAATTAACTGATAAATCGTTGAAGCACTTGATTGTCCTGAAACTTCCAAATATCTGTTCCTTTTTCCAAAAAAGTGGCAAAACCGACTCTGTGGAAGTGAAATGAAAGGGACGGCAAAATACTCCTATAGTAGCAACAGTAGACAACAGTCATAAAGTTAGCTAACTGTCACAGTAATGGCTAATAAGCAGCAACATGCCAATATAAGCTAACATTAGCCTATCCCTGTTTGAGCCTGCCCACAGCAGACAGTTTGAATTGTTTTGATTAAACGATTTACTTTCCCACGTCTGAAAAAAGTGCACCGTAAAAACCAAACATTAGCTAACAGATTGTTTAGCATGTAAAAGAGTTAATGACACAAGAGTGCATTTTATAGCTTTCAGCTACAAATCAGTAAGTAAAGTCTGAAAACACTGGGCTAAAAGGAAGAGATATCTGTTGGCTTAATCTTCCAGTTGTGTCAGACGATTACTACATCTATAGGATTTTATTTGACCAATGATACGTCTTAATACTCTTCTACAACCCAGTCTCACGGCATTTCGTGTTATAGTCACAACATTTAATCTATTGATTCGTGTTCACCAACACGATTTCCCCCTTTTTTTTTCGTGTCACACAGAACGATCTTAAAAGCAATGTATTTCAAAATTGTTGAGTAAATAACAGTGTGTTATTTAGAAAAGAATAACAAATTAGAAGGAAAAAAAGATTTAAAACATAGGCTTGATATTGAGTAAGAACATGTTTTTATGAACCACACAGCTTCCGGTTTTCCAAGACCTGACCTACTGTGATGGTCACACATAGTCAGCTAGGAGTCAGACAGAGCGCATAATACACACAATATAGGGAGGGCATCACTCCACACACACATTCCTCGGGCCCCAGGCGTGTGAAAAGCAGCATGCCGCTTCACTTTCAGTCCTGGCTGTTTGTTGTGGGTGGAGGGGAGGTTTTGGAAGTTAAACTTCCCATGCTAATCTGCCATTAGCTTGAATCAGCCAAGGCCAGCAAATTAATCCCTCTGACCCAGTTCTGAGGAGCGCCTTTGGAGCCCCCACCCTTTACCCAACCCTTGCAGACACACAAAGCCATCAACGACCGAGCACCCCCATCCCCTTCCTTTGGCAGAAACACAGATACTGGGAAGATGCATTGTCCAGGGTAAAGCCCTTCTGGCTAAATGCTAAATGCTCTTGACTGATTTTCTTGGCACTCATTTTGAGCCCAATGTCTTTACAGGACAATGGCTTGGCTAGAAATTCAAATGCTTCAAGGCAGATTTCACTCTCCTACAGCGATCCTCTTCATGATTTGGCCAATATATGATATCAGGAAAGTCCACAACTATGTCACACTAAAGCCAACTCAAGGCTTTTTATGCAGTCATTCCAACTCATGACTGTACTGACTGACCTTTACAGGGATAAAAACAGCTCCTCTTCAGATCTACAATGACCTCCCGCCTCTCATATACAATGCTCTGAAAGGTTGAGTCGGCTTAGACAGGTCAGCCTGTTGAGTCATCATAGCTGCCCAGGAACATCCTCCCCTCGTACAGTGAGAGGTTTGTACCCATGCGCATTGTTTGTGCATGGGTCCAATCGATTTTGGATGATGGATGCACCTCTGAGCACAGGGGAAAATCATAGACGCTAACCAACACTAGGGGTGAAAAAGGTGACTTGACATTCAGTAGCCCAAAAAAAAAGAGTAGACCAATCATAAAAGGAAGAGACAAAAGAGGGAAGTAAAAGGGAGCCTCTGTCGATCCAACTATTTATATGGAAAATGCTTTTGAGAGAGGTGTATGTGTTTAGTGATGCTTCCATAACCTTTACAAAAACACACAGCTGTTCCCGTTAGAGCGCTGCGTGATAGAAATGTAGAACCTATTTTGACTGTAGTGTTTTTTTTGTCAGCTATTCTTTTTCACCCTGTTTTTTTACTAAATATCTGTGAATTTGTGTCTAACTTCAATCATGTTAAATTGTAATTATCGTTGAATAGTTATAGTCAGTGAAAAAAGAGATTTTTGTTTTTATTATACACTGAAAAAACTGAAACGTAAACTTTAATTGAATTTATTATGTCAACAAATTTCACATAACTGTATTAAGTTAGTTGAAAGCAATAATATTAAGTTGAACTGACATTCTTTTAATTTAAACTTAAAATGATTGCTTTCAACTAACATAATATAGTTATGAGAAATATAATTAAAGTCAACGGTCCAGTTTTTCAGTGTAAAGAAAATACATTTTAGTCCTATCTTTAATTGTTAGCGATATGTGTCATTGCGTCGTCAACACTGGTTGGGAGGTGATATAACAACATCCCTGTTACCATAGTAACAAAGTTCACTGGCTCCTTATCATCTCTACAGCAAGGACGAGAGTAAGGACCTTTAAACCTGATGCCACGGTCCTCTGAAGTGAGATGCTCCCCAATGTCTTGTTAAAGATCAAGGATGCAAGGTTTCTAGCAGCAGATGTACTAAACAAAAAAGAAATGGCTCGCCACATTCTTCGCCTTTATCAAGATACGTTCCAGAAATGGGTATACAAATATGCATGACTGAGAAACGTTGATAGTAAGGATCTTGTTTGGGCATGTATTAACAGATATAGTTCTACAGTAAGTCTCTCGAGGCTGCAGACAGTAAAATAGCTACAGTAACACTTTGATAGCTGGGGCACAGTGGAGCTTAACTGACAGGTAAAGTTCCCGGCTCATAGGGAGAACAGTAATGGAGCAGATAAACCTCCAGCATAGCCACTTAGTCCCTCAACATCAATAATTCATGTAAAGCACATACAGTATCAAGCCTTCATAGACGGCGAGAGAGAGAGAGAAAACAGCAAATCTATAGATATTATGCAAGTATTATAGCAAAATTGTTCGTGAGCAAGGTGAACTTGATAAGCATTGGGATATGTTGTATACCATGACGGACATCAAAGACATGTTGCAAGGCAGGTGGTACCTGATAAATGTATACATCACTGACTGTAAGATCAGAAGAACGGCTTACCTCAGCAGTTCACTGAATGCTAAATAGTGAAGTAAAATCACACTGAGTAAACAACATGGGAGATGTTGTTTTGTCTGATTTCTCATGACTACTTTTTAAATGGGCCTTATTATGCTAATGTTCAGGTTATATTTGTATTGGCCTCTACTGTGACATGTTTCCATGCTTTAATATTCAAAATGGCTTTGTTTCTCTCATGCTGCCTGTTCTGCAGCACCTCTTTTCACCCTCTGTCTGAAACCAGAGCCCAGTCTGCTCTGATTGGTTACCTGGCTCGCCTCTGTTGTGATTAGTCAACTGCTCCAGCACCTCTTTTTCCCCTATGTCTGAAACCAGAGCCCTGTCTACTCTGATTGGTTAGCTGGCCGGCTCTGGTGTGATTGGTCAACTGTTTATAGACGTTCTGCCACTTAGCCTATATCACATACAATGTGTTGGAGCACTAGAAGAAATGGTGTTACAAAGTGATGTCATTATGTTAGGGAAGTGAACAAAGAGAAGAGAAACTCCCTCTGGCGTGAGCTTTCGGATTTCAGCCTTTGCAGACCATTTACATGTACCAAAACTTATAAAACACACTACAGGAAAGGGAAAACCCCCAAAAAACATAAAAGGGGCTATTTTAGGAAAGGCAAGGAAGTGAGACCGTAAGAGCGAAGAGAGACCAGGAGAGAGAGCACCTGCATTATCATGAATGAAGGCCAACTCTCATCAATTCTGGCCTCACTACACTGGCTCCCAATTCGGTTCTGAATTGATTTTAAACTCCTTTTATTTGTTTTTAAAGCCCTAAATGGGCTGGCTCCTGCCTATATAGCAGAACTCCTCCATCGCTACACCCCAGCCAGAGCTTTAAGGTCGGCTGACCAGCTGCTGCTGATAGTGCCCAAGACCAGGCTCAAAACCCGAGGGCACTGAGCCTTCGCAGCAGCTGGCCCTAGGCTCTGGAACACTCTGCCCCTCCATGTGAGGTCGGCCCAGACCCCAGGGTTTTTTAAATCAACACTAAAAACTCACTT